AAGTACTGTAGTAATCCTGTGCACAGCTGGAGGCTCATACATCCAGCAGAGTGACAAGCCGGAGCAGGACGGTACTTTTACACAGTAAAAGGATTTCCAGCACACACAGGAGATGTCTAGATATCTTCACTTAAGAATTGTTTAGATGATCAATGTGTGTGCGCTGAATTACTATTACTTCTTATCTCTGCATTATAGGTAAGTGAAGTACTAGAATATTCAGCAAACTGGTATGACTGTAATGTGGTCTGTTACTCTTAATTCTGCTACCATTATTATTATTAGTTTTTTCTTGTAGCTTTGCCTCAATAATCAAATTACAGTTTTAAATCAAGTTTGATTTTCTTCTGTGCAACATTACAGCACTTCTCAGTCTTTGTCAATTACCAGTACTACAGTTATCAGTAATACAAATAGTACCGGTACTACAAATACAGTACCAGTACTACAAATACACTGTTAGTACTATAGACCAGTACTGCAGATACAGTACCAGCACTACAATATCAGTACTATAGTACCAGTACTACAGATACTGTACCAGTAATACAAATGAAGTACCAGTACTTTGTAACTTACTGTAACTGTGGGATGATTCCAGATCTCTCAGTCACAGGGGTCACAGGGGTCATGGGGGTCATGGGGGTCATGGGACAGAAGGGGGAGGCGCTGGACTGCAGGGACCCCCCCTGCTGGGGGTCAACTGCTGCTGTAGAATCCTGGGAGTTGTAGTCCAGACAGATACCACTGTCCTGAGACACATCCGGAGCTGCAGCCTGGGTCTCTGCTGCCTTGGCTGCAACCAGACACCACACAGAGGATGTTAGAGTTTATTGGTCCCACATCAGGACCACACAGACCACATCCATGTCCTGATTCCAGTTCTGGACCTCTGTGTTCCCCAACATTAGAAGAAGCAGCAGCATTTATTTTATTGTCATTGCAACATTGTGACACGTACAACAAAATTTTGTTTGTTTGGAGCCGAGGTCCCCGGGCCACTGCATGCATACATGCCGCCATCACGGGCAACTTGGGAGTTCAGTGTCTTGCCACACTGATATCTCAGAAACGCCTTCATGGGATTTCTTCAGATTTGGCTCTGATGTCCACTCAGGGATGATCTGATGAAGTCCTCACTACATACAGTATACTGTAGGAGTCTGAACCAACAGACACCCATGTAAACGCCAACCTGACAGAGGCCGTACTAGTTTGTGGTCACTCTGTGATGATGCAGCAGATCAGCCAGGGACAGAGGAGACAGGCCTGCATCACAACAAACATGCTAAGTGTTTCCTGCACCCTCACACCGACTCTTCTGGGTCCACAAAGAAATCAGAATCAGAATCAGTTTATTGGCCAGGTGTGATGGACACACGAGGAATTTGACTCAGGTACATCGGCTCTCACTGTGCAAACAGTAAACCAGCATAAGGCTGTGTAATATAACAAAATAGCAGTATTAACATCAACAAACAGTGCAAACAATGCAGAAAAAGCAGTATAAACAGACAGTAAACAATGCAGACAACAAAAGGAATGTTCATTGAAATGAGATAAATAGGGATAAAAACAGAGAACTTCAGAACTAGAGATCTATATGAGTCTATAATCTGTACCAGGTATATTTACAGGTATTGCACTGAGGGTTATTGTCCATCAGAGCGACATCCTGGGGGAAGAAACTGTCCCTGTGCCTGGTTGTCTTAGTGCACAATGACCTGTAACGCCGTCCAGAGAGGAGGAGTTCAAACAGATTGTATCCGGGGTGTGAAGGGTCAGCAGTGATCCTCACCACCCTCCTTTTGACCCGTGAGGTGTACAGGTCCTCCATGGAGGACAGGCTCACACCAATGACCTTTTCTACAGTCCTGACTGTCCACTGAAGTCTGTACTTGTCCTGTTTGGTTGCTGAGCCAAACCAGACAGTGATGGAGGTGCAGAGAACAGACTCGATGATTCCTCTGTAGAACTGTATCAGCAGCTCCTGGGGCAGGTCGAACTTCCTGAGTTGGAGCAGGAAGTACATCCTCTGCTGTGCCTTCTTGGTGATGGTCCTGATGTTGGACGTCCACTTCAGGTCCTGGGAGATAGTGGAGCCCAGGAACTTGTAGGACTTTACTGCTGATACAGTGCTGCTGAGTATGGTGTGTTGGGGCAAATCTCCTCTGACTACATATTGTACATATTTTTGCCTTAAATGTGTTAATCTCCACACTTTATTATCCTGAGATGCACCTTAATGTACCGTTTTGTTGAGTATCCATCCAACCTGCACTCAACTGTTGCATAACATTCCTTATTACAATGTTAGTCGTTTACTTGCTCCATTTTTACTATTTTTTAACTATAGTCTATTTAACATGTATATAATTTAGCTTTATTGCGTTTCTTACATAGGCTATGTGCTGTGACAACAGTAATTAGCCTTCGAGATCAACACATCCATCCACCTCTGCCTGTCATTAGAGCCTCTTAGCTGCTCAGACGATAGGTCTGCAGTAAATGAGATTCTAGCAATTGTGCAATTGTTGTTTTTGCCAGTGAATACAGTATGCAGTTTTTACGGTGCAGGTTTGATCCAAATAAGTGTATTAACTGATCCTTGTTTTTGCAGTTTGCACTAAATTAAAGAACCTCTCACTGATCTGGGACTGTGGCTGCATGCACCCAGCTCGCCCTCCTGGCTGATACCTGTGTTTCTGTAATAAAGAAAAGGTCAGCTGTGGAGTGAAGTGACAACATCGGCCCTCAGCCTTCATGGCTGGAACTGCTGCTCTGAGTTTTACGTTACTCTTTTGTTCTGCTACATCAGGATTCACCAGCAAAAGACAAACCTCTCAGCTGGTCCTCTACAGGCCAGTAAACTCTGTCATATAATAAACACCACATTCCATCTGCAGCTGCACGTCCTCACAGAAACCACCTGTAACATTTACAGGGTTATTTCATTTCTGGTCCCTTGGTGTATCTGTGCACTGCACTACATGTCACTTCAGTAAAGTTTTCACCTGTGTCCGTCTGAGTGCTGAGGTGTCACTTCAGTAAAGTTTATCGGCGAAAACTGTTTCACCTGTGTCCGTCTGAGTGCTGAGCTCATCAGGTAGGAAACTGAGGTCGAGCTCCTCCCCCAGCTCTGTGCTTGACTGTGCCTTCACCGACAGGTAAGAGGAGTCTTGTATTGAGTGGGCGGGGCTCTGGAGACCCAGCCCCTCCTCCAACATAAAGCCAGAGTCCTGCAAAAGAAACCAATCGATGAGTCTGCTGATCAGTGAGTTTAACAAGCTCACCATCAGACAAAACGCAGAAACTTTAGGAGCTGAACAAACTGACATTTTGGCTTTAAAAGTGACTTTAACAATTAGTCTCAAAATAGTTGCCATTCATTTTCTGTGAATCAGCCAATCGATCTATCGGCCTGACAGAGGCCACATTATCAACACTTTAATCTGTATTAACAATTTGGGAAAAGCAAACATTTTGCAGACTTTGGTGGCTGTATGGTCCGATATTTCAGGGGGTGCACTGGTAAATCCCACACCACCAGCAGAGAAATATCAAGCCCAGCACTTATTTTAATTTAAACAGTGTAAACATGAACACATTTACATTTACTGAGTCTTATAAACTGTCGAACTCAGCCTGTAATTTAGAGCAGATCTAAGTGTTTAACTGTCAGATGAAAACTTGAGCCACGCGACCTGAAACATGCAGGACTTACAGGATTCTATTTTATTTGCTGAATATTAGATTTTTATTTACATTTATCTTTTAAATGTGTGTGTTCACGTGGCCCGTGTGCAGTGGTGGAGAGGAACCAAGTACTTTGATTATTTTGATTCTGATCTACGTCATACTTCCAAATATTACTTTTCAAACTATACTTTTTACTTTAGTTGCTTTTCAGAACCAGATTAATACAAAAATTACTGTATAATCATCAGACTTTATTGATCTTTTGTGGAAAATTCACAGGCTACCTAACAGGAACTCAAATTAAGAGCATATATGCTACAACACAATAATGCCTCAGCATTTATAATCAAACATATGATATACATTAATGTTACATGTGCCACACTGTATAACAAGTACATTTACTCTTAGTACTTTAAGTATAATTTGAACGTAATACTTTTACTTAACATTGAGTGCAGGTCTTTTACTTGAAACAGTATTTTTACACTATCATATTGTTACTTCTTCTTAAGTATGGGATCTGAGCCCCTCGTCCACCACTGCCTGTGTGATGATATCAACACAGATTTTCTCCAGGATAATAAATCTCAGGCTCCAGTTGGGTCTTAGCAAAAACTGGCACAAAGTGACTTTTGGCTGTGGCTCTGTGATACTGTGAACACATTCACTTTCAATTTACCGTCTTTTGCATCTAATATGAAGATTTTTCATTTGTGGCTCTGATGTTGCTGCTTCTGATTAGCGGTTCCTCCTGGTTCTCATGGTGGCCAGAGGACACCCAGAGTTAACAGAACCAGGTCATAACCAGCTTTATGCTGCAGGTCCAAAGGCAGGATCACCAGTGTCAGACCCAGACTGAGTTGAACTTGCCTTGTGGCCCCAGAACTCAGGTTTGCTGTTCTACTCTATGTACAAGCCACAAACAGGCTTCGAGCCCTTGGTACACTTTGGTTTAATATTTCTTTTTGATCACATGTGTTTGACTAGATAACAAACTGAAAAATAAGTAATAAAACCAGTAAAATGTTTTGAAAAAACTGTTTGGAAGAAAAAAGGGGCTGAGCTGATAGAAGGTGATTCAAACACAAGCTTCTGAGGTTTGACTTTCTGCCTGTATTTTACTTTATACTTTCCATCCACTTCATTCTTTTTTTCCAAAGCCCCATGAAAGTTCAAGACAGCTCAGGTTCTGGAGGAAAGCTCCACATACAAAAGCCAGCATGCACTCACAGACAACCTCAACACTAAGTGCACGTTTTAAATAAAGTTGTGCATGTTCAAACAGCAGAGCACCACATCTGTACTCACATTTGCAATGGAGTCATCAAAGTAACGCTCCAACTCGTCCATGAGTCAAAAGCCATGTGACCTGAGCCAGGACCTGGCTCCAGGGCCTGGGTGCAGACAGAGCTGCACAGCTGCGTCCAATCCACACTGACCCTGAACTCATCAGACCTCAGAGTGACTTCACCTGCAGACAGGAAATGGAAATACTATAGAAAAGTCAAAACAAAGGACACAGAGGAAACATTTCATGTTGACTTTGTTGGTCTTCTTGTTAGTCTGATGCTTGGTAATAAAGTTCTCATTTGTTTTTAAACTGTTATGCTGAGATTGGTGGTGTTGTGAGTCACAACTCCTCCTCTTATTTCCCTGTTTTGTCCCTGCAGTTTGTGTACATTTTTCTTTACGTCTCTAAAGATAATGTCTCACTTGTTTAAAAAAAAAGTTAAGATTGTGGACAGGTAAACTGAATACACCATAGGAAACTACTGTGACCTGTCTGTTACTGTTACGTCATGTTTGTGCTTTGTTTTTATTTTAGGTTAATTTATTTGAATGCTTTTTAATGCTGTATCCACCTGCTCACTGTCTGGATACACTACAGTAGGGGGCAGTACTGGGTAGCAAATGTAATAAAGTACGTAAGACTGGCATAGGTGTCAAAGATGGGATCCAATTATGTATGAAAGTATAAGCACCTCGACTTTCTTAATAATATATTCCCTTCGGCTCAACTGTTGATCCACACTCCAGTTCAGTAGGTGGCGGAAGTGCACCTTAAGCTGGCATGCAAACCACCAATAAAGTACCAAGGAGAAGAAGACGACGCGCAGCGGATGTAAACAAAGCAGCAGGTCAGCGTGAGGTTCGGAGGTACGGTCTGGGTTGACAGCCGCGGATCTTCAGTACTCACAGGGACCAGAGTACTTTCAGATTAGGCTAATGCCAGCTCGTATCCGCGTAAAGACACAAAATGGCGTCTCTGAGGAAACATCTTGCCAAGTTTTCAGTGGAAGCTCACGGTGAGAGGAGCAGGCTACTGCTAGCCCCACTTCTACTATTACTACTTCTGCTGTTACCCGTAGAAGCCTCCTAGAAACCCTGTATGGGAACTATGGGAAGAAACAAATGGGTACTAAAGTTACTGGTACGCCTACAATCACTATTAGGCTAAGTTTACTGTAATGCTAAGGGCAATGCTAGCACTACAACTACTATTATGGACACTAAAAGTCATTTTTATTGTTTGGGTTAGTTATTATTGCTTCTAATACCGGCGCTACCAGTAGGCTACTGCTACTTATACTACGGTTATTACTCATTGTTACTATAAGTACTACTTCTGATAAATGTATTACTGCTGATGCTAACAGTACAACCACTAGAACGTTGGTGCTCAAAGCTGAACACAGTCGGTACAGGACACGCACTTCCCATAGACTGAAATCTGAGTTCTGCTCCACAATATGAGCTGGTGTTATTCCAAGTATTAATTAAATGACACATCTGTACAGAGGCGACTCAGACTAAATATCTGACTGATCAATAATGGCTGTGAATGTATTTATGCAGCTTCATCATGTTCTCATGCTCCTTGTTGTATAGAAGGACGTCATTAGACCAGCAGCTGCTTGTAGAAGATGGAATGTTTGGTTTCATGACATTTATTTAAATGGGAATCAGACTTAACCACATGTGAGTTTCTGTGAATTCCTGTACAGACTGAAGGCCAGTGGAAAGTACAAACTGTCCGCCTTGACTGTGGATTTTTGTCACTGCCGCCGTCTGCTCTCCTCCACATCTGCCAACAAGCTTCATGATTTATACCTTTCAGACCTGTATCTGAACCAATCAGTGCCTTACCTGGAAGAACCACCTGACCCGCTAGAGTTCTACCGCGACTGGATTTGTCCAAACAAGCCCTGCATTATCCGCAACGCCTTCAGTCATTGGCCAGCTCTGTCCAGGTGGACGCCAGAGTACCTGAGGTGGGGAAACCCCGCCCACCGACACCTAAAAGTTTGTCCTTCTACTGTGGTGAGATGGTTTTAATCATGTTTCCTGATTGCAGGGAGAAGGTGGGGTCAAAGGTCATCAGTGTCGCAGTGACCCCTAACGGCTACGCTGACGCTGTTGCTGGCGATCGCTTTGTGATGCCGGAGGAGAGACGCATGAGTTTTTCTTCAGTTCTCGACATCATGGAGGGAAAGGTGAGGGGGAGACGACTACTGCTGCCTGGAGGAGACAGTTGTACTGTGTAAGAGTTGAATCTTATAGGCTCTAGTTACTTTATAAGCTTTAGTTACTTTTCATAACTTTAGTTCCCTTTAGTCACTTTTCAGTTCTTTATTTTCCTTTAGTTATTTCTCATACCTTTATTTTCTTTTAGTTATTTTTCATACCTTTATTTTCTTTTAGTTACTTTTCATACCTTTATTTTCTTTTAGTTATTTTTCATACCTTTATTTTCTTTTAGTTACTTTTCATACCTTTATTTTCCTTGCTTATACATATTAAAACTATATTGATGACTGATGTATTCTACGCAGTGAAACTTTAGAACTGCATGCTGCAAATTCTGTAGACAGGATGTCTGTACCTTCAGGTAACCAGATGTCATATTTTACATTTTAACAAAGACCTGTTGGCCTCCTTTGCACCTTCACCTGGGCCCTTTTAGCATACTCACAAGGTCCTACTTTGTCCTGTAATAGGATTACAGACAGGGGGTCTGCAGCGCAGATGACCAATTGTTCAGTGTTCATTGATCAGTTGCCGCCTGAAAATCACAGCACGCATGCACACACACACACACACACACGTGGTTTAGATCACATTTCAGCAAGCAGGCACAGGCAGGGGGGTGACACGCCAAATGGCCAATAGGATTACGAAGTGTGAAATGTTGTACCTCTGTCCAGGGCAGACCAGCCCAAGAAGATAAATGTAACATGAAAACATAACTCGGGGTTCAGAGAACGGATTTCCTGCATGAACTCTGTCTCTCTGATCCCAGCGCTGTAAGACTTTACCTATGCCCAGACTTTGAGTAAACTTCCTGTTGATTTTATACAGACCTCTCCTGTCTTCACTTCTCACGCTTTCAATAAAAGAACATGGGTAAAATCTAACAACTGAAAGAGACAGTAGTACTGCAGGAGATGTTTTAATCTCTTCAGAATACTGAAAAATGTTACACTAACTGTAGTGTTGTTGTTGTAGTACACAGGTTACAGTGTATTGTATTATTACAACTTTCAGGATACTGAAATGAAACTAAATACCAGGTGGATAAGTTGGAAACA